CCGCCCCTCGGACCTGGAGGCGTGGGGGCTGACTTTGTGTAGGGGGCAGCGCGGGCCACGGGCCTATAGCGGACGGTCGGCGTTTGGGTGGAGGATATGATATGTAAGGCAGCAGGGTGTACTACACACCTGAATTAATTCGAGGCACACAAATGTTTGGATTCCAGCGGCGCAACGGCCGGAGAGCTCTTCTATCCGCGCATAGCCATTCTATATATCCCCCCTGGACGATCAGCCGACGGAGCCCACCGCCAGCGACCACCACCGCCAGCGACCACCACCACCACCACCACCGACGACCCACGGGGCCCGCGAGAATTCCAACGGCACACAACATTCGGGATAGAAACGTTTGTGGCTGCCCAGCCGGATAACAAGGTCGTATAGGTAGGCGCGGACGGTGACCGTTTTAATCGCCCTTCCCCATCTTCTCTCTCTCTCGCTCTCTCACTTCCCCTATTGCTCGCTCTCCCGCCATCAATGCAGCATTACCTCCCCTCCAGCCACCTGCTGCCTTCCCCGGGACGACCGTGGCCAAAATTTTCTGTGTACAGTTATAACGCCCGCTTCTGCACAAAGACCGCATGTACAAATTGTTTGTTAACAAGTACCCTTGATAAAGTTCGACGGGTGCATCTCAAACAACGATCCCCGGGCACCAGCTCAAAAATATAAATTCGCTAACTTACAATATTTTCGGAGATTTATGATTATTTACAAACGAAGTTGTAAGTTTGCAATCGGTGCCGTTGATGAACGACAGCCAAATTTTGCTCGCCTAATAATTTCAAGTGGGTACACATTGTCATGAAATATTGTAATTTTTCAATTTTAAATCGTTATTGGGTCTGCATTACCACTGTTTAGTAAATGAAGCCATAAAACTGGAAAAAAACGACATTTCTTACCGTTGACTGATGGGCACGCTGCGTGCGACCGGGAAGCGCATGGCGGCACGGCGGGGAGACGGACGAGCCGTGTGGCCCAGATTAGGGAGCGGTAGCAGCGGTAGCGCTGGCAAGCAAAGAGGACCCGATACGCACACCAAGCCGGGGCACACCGCAGGGCCCTTCCCCTCCAGCGGCAGGTTGCGGTCGGATCACCGATTGCTTCCACCATACCCCCCACCCCTCTCTCCCTTTTCAACTCCCT